GGTTCGTTCAATATAGTTCCACAGTTCTCCTGTTCTTCTTGTATAACCTCCTTGTACTTGATAAGACGTCTGTGAGCATCCGAGATCATCATGCGCACCATGCGCCTTCCGAATTGGTGTGAAATCCTCCAGGCCTCCGGGTGATTGATCGGTGGTCTGTGGTATACGCTCTCTGAACTCTGGCACTGTCTTTCTCCTAAAATTGTGCCCTGGAAGTTTACTTCAGTCTTGAGATCTAATATTAACAGCCGAAGCCGAGTCCGAGCTTGCGGGAATTTTTCCCCCGAGTTCACTACAGAAATTAGCGTTCATCAGGGTTTCCTGATCTCTCCGCTTATAATTAGCTTAGTGATATTTTTAATTTTTGAGACAACCCTGTCCTCGTGCCATCACAGAGGCATTTATTTGCTCTCAGATAGTAAACTGTATGATCTGGAGTTTACAGACGACCTTGTGTTGCTCAGTGAAGATCCAGATAAGTTGCTGGCTTTTCTAGATAGTTTGAGTGCCAATGTATTTATGTTCGATATACGTTTTACATCTTTGAAGTGTAAAATATCGCTACAAGATTGATTTGGTCCAGCCCTCAAACTCATCCTGAATGAAGAACAAACAGAGGAGGTAGATAATTTTGCTATCTGGGCAGCTGTATCTCATTTGGCTGACGCGTCACAGATGAAGTGTCGGCGCGCATACAGAAGGTTCCGTTGGCATTTGCCAAATTGAGATATCTGTAGCGTCATCGCGACATCCGGCTGTCTATGAAAGGTCGAGTATACGCCGCAGCAGTTAGGCCAGTTCTGCTCCACAGTGCAGAGACTTGGTCATTACGGGAACAGGATAAAATAGATTGTCAATGTTCGAACACCTCTGTCTACGCCGTATTGCACGAGTCTGGTGGGGAAACCGGACAAGCAATGCCGAGGTTAGGCGTAGAGTTTTAGGTAATCGTGATCGTCCACTGGAACAAGTGGTTAACCTTCATTGACAACAGCGGTTGGGGAATGTATTACGCATGTCACCAAATAGGTTGCCACAGTGCGCGATGTTTGCCGAAAGATCAAAGGCGGTCAAACGAAGACCTGCCATGAGGGTATGAAAACGCTAATCAGAGGACTGGGTCACATGGTTCCCGTTAGGCTTCCTGAATGGGAATCCCAATATCATGGCTGCCGGTGGTTAGAAACACTGAGTGATCTGGGTGAGTGTCGCAAACTGGCAGTCGTCCATCTACTCCTTATTTTTTGCAGCCTCAATCCATGTTGATTCTCTGTAATTTTTTATTATGTTCGTAACATTCCATTCTTCCCTCTGCCGTTTTGTCCAAATGAGTAGCCAAAAGACAGCAATCAAAATCAGTGCATGAGAATGCATGGTTAATGGTTATAAAAACTGAAACGACAACACTATAATAACTTGTCACGGTTTGGCATTCATTTCAAAATAAAGCGAAGCGCATACCGCCAACCCATTTTGCTGCATAGCCGGATGGGCTGTTGTTTATGAATGTAAACAAGAGGGCAACTGAGTATCGCGTCTATGAAACATTGGAAGTGTGAGCACAATCCGAAGCGATTTGGTGAACTTGCACGTGGGAATTCCTTTTGTCAGTCCACCCTGTATGTACATGCTAAAACGAGTTCCATCAATAATATATGTTCTTTACCACGCGGTTTTGATGTTGTGAAACTTCATCGAGATGGAGTCCATTATGTAGCCTGATCATGCAACTTCAAGGTCTCTCTCTTTGGTACACATCGGATTCTGTCGCCGTTTAGTGAAGGTCAGAACCAGCTTGAAAAGAAATAATTTTCTCAACTTGTTGACAGGCCTCAAAGCGAGTGGTTCGGGAGCGTTTTTCGCCAACTTTATTCTCCTCGTTAAAACAATGGAACATTATCAATAACTGTGCCCTGACAATAATCCCGAACACGGAAGGTTGTCCGCTGACTCATTGCGGAGGGGCTGACAGATGCGTTCCATTTTGCACACATACAAGCTACGAAACGAATCGTGAACTGTATCAATTTTCGTATTATCACTCAGGCTGAAAATCTGTTGTGGAAGTGTCCTTCTAACAGTGTCACTTTTTTTCTCCCACTCTGTCGACATCTGTGTCCAATCGCATAGTGATGCATAGAATGGTGCAACAAGGAAAAAAGAGATGTACATATAGTCTGAAGTGAAACGTACAGCTGTGACAGCAGGATAGTGTGGTTAGCATTCGGCGAGGTAAGACACTTCACCATAGAATGAAGATAACGCAATGAGCCCATTATTTTTTAGCAGTTTCCATGTCACTATGTAGCTCCCCATAAAACCGTCGTTTCGAAGGAACCTGAACTATTTCAGTATATTCTGTTTCTGAACATCTTTCCGTTATCAGACACGGGATGGGAGTTTCCAATTCGAAATGCCCATTTACTATAAAGGGGTCATACGTCGTTTCGTTTTCAATGGTTACAAAAGTGAAAAACGTATTTAAAACATTCGACGGCTGTTAGAAAATGCAAAAGATTAATCCCCAAGATGTGTATGTGTGAACATTTTAAGGGTTCTAGTGTTAACTTGAATGAACTTTTTACATACATCTAAGGAAACGCTGAGATATGCATTTTTCTATTGCTGATCTCGGCTGAATCACATAATCTTGTACTTTCACAGCAAGTTTTACTTACGGTCCGTGGGAAGAGGACCCTCATGACAGGAGTGACATAGAGTAGACACAAAACTGACTACTGACAAGCACCGAAGTGGTCAGTTGCTAAGTATGGTTTCTAAAATGTGCCCCCCCCCTCACAACATTCACAGAAACCCGTGATCTGAGCACAAAACTTACCTTCGATCGTTGAGTTGGATTAAGAGGATTGTAAATAGGTCCGGTCAGTTCCCGTCTACGTCGTACACTGGCATATATACTATTAGCTAGCTCGTTCTCAGCCACGGGGTTACTTGATCGGCTTGTAAGTCTTCGCCGGGTAATCTGATACGTTGAGGGGTCCACTGGTGGTCGTATCCCCCGTAAACCCAATCCAGCTACCTGCTCGATGGTCCGCTTACGTTTACGTGTCTGTCGTTCTTGCGATGTTTCACGTGAACGGTTCTCGGGGCCACGGGGCGGCAGTCTTCCAGTTCGTGGCAAAGAGGTGTCTCGTGGTCTTCGGGAGGGCGAAGGTTCTCGTCCTGGCTCTATGTTCTTCCATGGGAATTGTGTATTACCGGGGCGATTTGGATGTCCTTGCTCTGGATCACCAAGCCCAACATCACTGAGGTTACGAAGCGAGGAGAACGGTGAGGTCGGTCCGAGTTCATCCGATCCCGCATCACCAGGAAACGATCGGTGATCGGCAAGGAGATAGACATCTGACACGGTGATAAGAGCAGTGGAGTGGTGACAATTTTAGATGAATGAAGAGAGAGAGAGAGAGAGCAAATCACCGGTCTATACAATAAGATCAACTTGTTCTACAAACTCCGGCTTCTGAAAGTGTTCGTACGAAACAGACAAGGAAACATCATAAATAACTGTCTAGTGTTGACGGAAGTATTCCACACGTGTAAAATCAAGTGAAATGTTCAAGAAATCGTACAGCGAAGATGTTTTATTGGAAACTTTTATGGGTGAAATGTTGCCTAGAGTTGACAAGGAGTTGAACAGTCCGGTGGTGTATGAAAATGGCGATTTACGGAGAGCTTGTATCTTATCCGTGGTATATCAGATGATAGCAAGGAAGTTCACATGAATTAATTGCTCCGTAAGCTCCACTGCTCAATAGAGCGGTTATTCACGTCTGCAAGTTCCCGTATTTTATGTTATGTTACTATGTTACTATCCAGGAACGGTTGCGATCGCAGTTTTCCAGCTCGATCAAATGGAATAGCGTTCTCTAGCTATTGAGAACAGAACGTCTCTGAGAGAATGTACGCGAGTATCCAGTAGATAACTTGGGAGACATGCTACGAAAGCATTTTCAGATCAAAGCATAAGCCTTCAGCCATGCACGGTGCTGATCTCTAAAGCTTAGACGAGTGGAGTAATC